ATACCATGGGGTCTCACACAGCCGTAGAGCCCAGGTTACTGCCAGCTCCAGCCCAGCTCTGTAGCAGCTCCTGGACAAGTGGGTGGAGGAAGGAGTTGTTACCAAGGAGACACCTCACAACCGCCATCCCAGGGATCTCAAGTAAGGGAGTAACTGTGGGTCTTACAGGAAAGCCAGACAGTTTACCCCTGCGCTTGCCTCTTCCTCAGCAGACCTGGGGAGTCCACAGTCCATTTCTGCTGATGATTCTGTTAGACTTGCCTCCTTTCTCTTTCGCACACAGAAACCCAGGATAGGTGAGGCAGCTGTCAGTGCAGGGAAATTGCTCTTTCAAGCTGGGTGCTGAGAAAAGGTGGGTTCCGGTTACAATCAGCAACACATCTTAATGGATTCTACAAATTTGTCGTCTGAAGACCGGATGACAGCTCCCAGCTGCCAGATAAATGTCACCAATTACCACCTTGTGGATTTGCCTTCCCTGATTATTCCTGAGATCTGGGAACTGCCTGGAGTCTCCAGTTTAACCTGAGGGAAAGGAAGGGGGCTTATGCCCAGGAGGGTGTGCGGGGAGATGTCTGGCTGCCTTGATCTGGAAAAGATGATGCACAGGAAAAGAAACACAGAAGCAGAAACAAGAGGCCTTTTTAGCGTTTGCTTCCCAACGAATTCTGGTTTATCTCAGGAGGAAGGTCAACCACAAGATCCCAATCAACCTGAGGCTGGTGATAAGAAACTTTTCGGGCTTCAACCTTACAAGGACAGTAACTTTGAAACAACTGATCTGTGTTTTTTGTTCCCTGCATATGTGTGTGTGTGTATACATATATATGTATATATATGTGTGTGTATGTATGTATACATACATGTGCATATAGTTATGTGTATGTTTTGTCTGTGCACCGTATTTATACAGTGCCTGCAGAGGCCACAGAAGGTATTGGATCCTGGGAATGTAGTTACAGACAATTGATAGCTGCCATGTGGGTACTGGGAATTGAACCTGGGTCCTCTGGAAGAGCAGTCAGTGCTTTTAGCCACTGAGTCATCTCTTCCCTCCCTGTTCCCTGTCCCCCCACCAACTTCTTTTCTGCTGTCTGATTTTAAAGTCTCAAATAAAAGCTTTTAAACTAAATTCCCAAAATTTTGCTTTTTGATCCCTGCTTCATTCTGCTCTTCAGTGAAAAGAGTTTGTGGCACTGGCTGGAGAGGACAGGCAGAAATACAATAGATTATTGCCCAAAGGTACAAACAAGACAAATGTGAACAGCGATCCACGGCAGGGAGTCAGCGAACCAAGCACAGAACCATTTGCAAGCCCTGATTGTGGGTCATGGATAACAAGGTCACTTTATTGCGAGGCCTTAGGGTGGTCAATGGCTGTTTAGCAGCAGCAGCAGATGGGGAGGAGCTCCGGTCTGTTCCGGGCTGCTGCTTCCCCATCATTTATTATTTGCAGATCCATATTTTCAACCTCAAACTTCCAGAATCCAAAGCAAATTAGGTTCCTCAAAAAAACTAAGCAGATTTACTCTATAATCCAGCAAGCCCGTTTCCACATTTGTACTCAAAAGACTTGAAAGCAGAACTTTGAGAGGTATTGCACAGCGTGAACTTCTATGTGCTCGACGTGTGTGTGTGTGTGTGTGTGTGTGTGTGTGTGTGTGTGTGCATGGGTGTGAGCACTTGTAAGTGCAGATCAGGAGTCATCAGAGAACTCAGGTTGATTTCTCTCTACGTTGTTCACGAGGACAGGGTTTCTTTTCTTATTTGTTTGTTCATTTATGAGTCAGGATCTCACTGGATATCCATGACAGGAGACCAGACTGGCTTGGAACTCTCAGAGACCTACAGGCCTCTGCCTCCCAAGTGCGAGTATTAAAAGTGTGCTCTACCTTACTCTGCATCAGGCAGGGTCTCTTAACTGAACCCTGAGCTTGCTTATAGGCCTGGTCTGGCTAACCAGCTTATTCTAGGGATTCCCACTGCCAGCTTCTGAGGGCTGGAATTACAGGCAGGCCACCGCACCCACCAGACCTTTACGTGCTCTCTGGGAATGGGGACCTGACTCCAATCCTCACACTTGAATAGCAAACTGCTTTCCCAACTGAGCCATCTCCCCAGCCCCACAGAAGTATTTTTTCATGAGCACTCAAAGGTGGAAACAACCCCGACACCCACTGGGCAGCAATGGGTAAAGGTGAGGCAATGCATCCGAGCCAAGGAGCCCACTAGGCAATGGCAGGAGTGGCGAGCTAAGGCGTGTGTCGAGAGGGGTAAACGTTCAGGTCGTGCTAAGCTAAACCACTCACTGAAAGGACCGTGCGGCTCCACTTACGTGAGCTTTCTAGAGGGTTCGCATTCATCTAGTAAGAACACAAAACAGTGGCTGCCAAGGGCGGTGGGAAGAGGAGCGGGAGTTACTATACAATGGGTAGAGTTTCAGTTTGGGAAGACGAGGAGGCTCTGGCGGCTGGGGCAGGAGGATCGGGAGTTTCAGGTCAGCTGGGGCTACGTGGCAATACGCCATTTCAGAAAACCAACCAACCAAACCTAACTGAGAAAAGGCTGGATGGCGGTGACGAGGATGTAATGACACCGAATGTGCTTCCCAACACAGCGGCATGCCTTAAAGTTCGGGAAATGTTAGATTATGAATATGACATTATAATTTTAAAAAATCAACGCAGGCTTTGCCCTGATGAAATAAAGACAGGGCAAGGAGATAATAAGAGACCAGTGTATCTGAAGCCAAAAAAGCCCCACAGGATGGTCAAAACCTGTCACCGTGTAAACTAGTTCCTCCGTAGCGTTTAGCCTCTGCGTAAGGACTGTCTAGGCTCCCAGATGTATCATTAACCAATTATGTGATACTGAGAGAATCATTTTCCCCCTGGGCCTCAGTTTGTTGGGTTGTACAAGGGGTTGAATTAGATGACCAAAGGCCTTTCTAGTTAGGTCAAGGGATCTAAACACAGGATCCTGGAGTAGCACCTGGGAGCACAGGAAAGCACAGGTCACTGCAACTCATTCTAGACTTTGAGTCAGAGCCCCTGTGTGGACACAGCAGTCTGGGTCCAACAACCTGCAGTCTGTTTGAAAACCATAGGGATAAGATGTTTTGTTTTTATAACTAAAGACCTGGGTAAATAGCTTTGAGAAAATAAAGAGGACAAAACACTAAAGAAATGCATTGCCATACAAAGAGCAATAAATGGTTCGCTTTTCAAAAATCAGCTTGAGAGATAAAGCAGCAAAGAATTTAACAACGTAATTAATAAACACAAATGACTGCTGTCCTTAGACGTACGGCCTGCCACCTGCTGCTCTAACACTGTGACCATTGCTCAAGACATTTTGAAATTTTATTTACAACTTATAGCCTCATTTGGTGGAACTAAGTCTCTTCATTTGGCTTGATACACTGACTCAATTAGCAGCTTCTAAAAACCAAATTTCCCCTCAAGGGTCCCCCTGAGGTTAATCAAAGACACACGAAGGCTAGGGTGGCTGAGCGGATCATCTAAATAACACAAGAGGAAAGAGAAGTTTATTTCCTCAGAACCGGCCCAGGCCGATGGCCTGTGGACCTGGGAACAGGATCAGGACCAGACGAAATCCCCACCCACCAGGCTCTGATGTCAAATCAGAAGATGAAGCTCCCAGTCTGGCTACTTTCTTTGTAAACAAGGCTCTTTTGAATTTACTGAATATTTTGGCACCAGCTTTGGTCAATTCTTTCTCCTTTCGTGGGTTGAAAACTATTTCTAGCAACCCACATAACCCAGGGAGGACAGAGGGTGGAGGATTCTTTATCCACCCAGCCATACAGAGTCTCTGGTCTTTGGTAAAGGGGTGCTCCGTAGATGGTGCCTGGGGAGAGAAAGAGTGGGGAGGCTCCAGAGCTTCTGCCTGGCAATGGCTGGCAGGCTTCCTGCTTGTTACCGTGGCATGTAAGATCTTCATGAGGCAACACACAAGGTCATTTTTATAATCCTACCCTCACTGTTCCTACAGTCTTTGAAGTCACCTCCCACAGCATCTTCACAGGTGACTCCACATATTCGTGAGTCATGTAGAGCCAGCCCTTTTTTTTTCTATGTCATAGAATGACCCTGGGAAATCAAGGACTGGAATGTGACTCTCTTTATTTTCCATGCCACCAACTGTAGTGGTAGACACTGAAAGGACATTTAACCGTTGTGCTGATGAGGAGGACAAAGCCCATTTTCATGCATACCTATCGTGTGCTGGGCACACGGGTGAGGGCCCTCCTTAGTGCACCATTTCAGTTAACTGAGTATTAGTACTACGCAAGACTAATTCTCCCAAACCATGGTTCCAAAAGGTTAAATAAAGAGCCTATCCCTGGCCAAGGGAAGGAGTTCAGGGGCAAACCCTGAACACTGACTACCCTGCTCCCATAGTCAAAGGCTAGACCAGTGCCTAGATTCTGCCTGAAGTTTCTTCTCCACCCTACTGCCATTTTGCTCCCCTCCCTGCCATATCCTCCGAGGGTGAGGACAGGATGGAGCACAATACATGTGGGTAGGTAATGTATGCCTGTCACTTCAACATTTAGGAGGCTGAAGCAGGAGGATGCTAAGTTTCTAAGCCAGCCTGGACCACAGAGAAAGACTGCCTCAAAACAAGCAAGACCAAAAACTTACAAGGATGTACGTGATTTTAAGGACCACCCACGAGCTCACTGGGCATGGAGAGTGGGAGCTGACAGATAAAGCAGGCAGGGCCTTAAGTGGTATAGGCCTCCCTCCTCCTCGGGCCAACTGCCTGTCATTCCAGGTCATGCTACACGTGGGTGTTACCCTTTGGCCTCAATGTTCTTAGAACACAGTGCTGACTGGAGCCCAGTGCCATCTACCACCCCTGAAGCGCCCGGAAGTGACATAGTGAGGGAGCCACATAGATACCGCCATGCAGAAGAACAGTTGTCTCTCTACTACCAAGCCAAAGACCCTGATTGCAATTACAATCAAGCTTACAGATTCCAGGGAGGCGCAACAGGATCCTAAAGTGCTGGGCACTGCAGCCATGCTTGCTGCCAAACTCTCCTGGCCCCTAAAGGAGCAAGGCATCAGGACTCCAGGTTCAGCTCCTAGCTCTTCCAGAAGCTAGTCCTCAGGTCCTTCATCCTTAGAATGAGGTTCCAGTATGACTTCTGGAAAGCCTCTTAAGTGCTCAGATCCATAGCCCTGGAGCCAGGTTGCAGAAGCTGCAATGCCAGACACACGCTGCCGACACTAGCCAGACTACACGCAGTGGAGAACTAATGGAGATAGGACCTTATCCCAGTCAGCTCCCTGGAAACCTGACCCTGCCCTCCCACCACCCCCACCAACCACAGCAAGCTCTGGAAAATGCCGACCTCTGGCCTGACAGGTTCCCAACTAAACAAAGAACTGCAAGCTGCGGAGGCGAGAGCCATCCTCCTGAGGGCTGGGCCATCCTCCACCTGCCAGCTGACTCTTGTGCACACAGATGTCCCACACCCCAGCTGTAGAGGAGGCTCCGTACTCCCCAGAGGGGCCATCATGCTAACATAACTTCAAAGAGGCGTAAATGACTGGGAAGGGGCCAGAGGGCAGAGTTCATGGGTCACCACCCCAGTGCAGTCCCAGCCCCATTCAGCCTGTCATTCAAATGCAGGCGGTCAGAGCCCTCAACCTCTTTACCTTGTTCTAGCCAAGCTCAATCTCCATCTGGGTCAGGCAGATCTGTTCCCCGGTGCCCACAAGGGCTTGCAACATGCACCTGGCTCCTCAACATTTGCATAAACCAAGGTCCCCCTGTACATTGCCCAGAATGCTTCCTGTCTTGTACTAAAAACTGCTCAAGATCTGCTTTCCAGAAAAGCCTCTGGTGGCTGCCTCCAGTGCACCCTGTCTCAAGATCTTACATGTGCCAGTTTTCTACCTGGACTGATATGCAGATAGCTATGGAAGGAACAAAGCTCTCATAAACTCTGTGATCACCTCAGGGAGCCCCACCCCCGCACCAGGGGTCTACATAATGCAATGTGAGTGACATTATCTTTAACCTAAATCTCCTCTCATGAAAAATGCCTTTCAATTGCAGATTTGAATTGCAAATGAGAAGTATTGCCTTTATTATGGAGAAGACAATAGAAAAACATATTGCAAACCTTCTCCTGGAATTCGATGAACATGCACTGAGCTACAGTTTGCCACTCATTCATTATTTACTGAGTAGCTCCCGTGTGCCAGGCAGAGCCCTTGGCAATGAGATTCAGGGGCAAGCAAGACCTTACCTCAGGACTAAGGGAACTTATGTTTTGAGTGGGTGTAATAGGAAATAAACCAGAGATACATAAACAACCCAAGTACAGGTAACAGGAATATTAAGCTGGAAGAGACCAGAAATGCGAGGAGGAGGAAGGAAGGGCTGTCTTTACAGGAAGTGATTGGGAAAGATACCGAACAGAGATCTGTCTAAAGTGAAGGCTGATAGGCAATGGGAAGATAGATCGTGGCAGAGGAGCAAAGGAAAAACCCCAGGGCTGACATCAGCCCGAGACCAGTGTGCTGTGCAGAATGAGGCCGATGAGGAGAGAGGAGTGGGGTGGGCCAGGTCATGTGGCCTTGGGGATGAGTCTGATCACACTGCTGAGGCGTGAAGAGACATCACTGGGGTTTGAAATACGGGGCACTTGTTAAAACGAAGAAGATGAAGTTTACTCAGGACCGCAAAGATGAGAAGACAGATCACTGCGCAGGACGGTGCGGTAGGGGAGAGACTGGGCTCGTTTCTGATAGAGTTTGAACAGTAGTGGGAGGGGGCTGGGAATGGGAACTGCCAAAAGAAAGCTTGAGCTAGACTGACCTCGTCTGATTGGTGCCGCAGACAGGCCAGGGAGAACAGACATTACTTCGGAGACGATGGAAGTTGAGGACCCTGGTCAGGTATTAAGCAAGGTATTAAGCAAATATTGAAATGGAGGGTTCTTCCCAAATAACTCAGTAGGACTCATGCTAAAACAGAATTTTCCAAGGAGGTACATAGGTAGGCCTGTGAAGAGGCCCAGGAACCTGACTAAGGTCTGATACAGCAAAGAATCTTTGGAGGGGTGAGGGTGGAGGCTGTGATTGGATACAATCCTGCTACGTGGCCTTGTGTTGTTGATCCTTTACCTCAACGTCCTGGAGTGCGGAGATTACAAACTTGAGCAACCACACCCAGCAAATAAAGAATCGTTATCCCACACAGAGAAGCCATCTGTTTCTCTGCCTCTCATTGTCTGTCTACTCTCCCGTGTATTTTATTCAAGTGCCTCCTGGTTGAGCCACTAGAGAGGGAGTTCGCAGTGGGCCGGATCTGTGTCCCTTCTATGGGCACTCCTCAATGACATGAACTGTACCTCTCCTAGTTTCCAGGACAGAGTCCCACTCACAGAAAGCTAACTTGTGTCCCTCAGTTCAGGGACACACTCCAGGGAACACTGTCTCAGCCTTGTCGCCTCCAGAACCAGGAAGGCAGAGTGGTCACTGATGGACAGGTCTCCCTAACCTGGCAGCCCACTCCCGCTCAGGCACACACCCTCATGGGTGGCTTGGCCATGGGTTAGGCTCCGGGGGGCTAAGGTGGTGTGCAGGCAAAGCCAGCCCCTGCGTCTGTGAAGTCGTACTTCTGCAGCCACAACAGCTTGCTTGGCTTCCACCACAGCCATGCTGCCGTAGCCCCAGGAGAGCCTCAGTTGCCTGTATCCATAGCAACCAGCATTTGTGAGCTATAGCCCCAGAAGGGAGGGCAGGAGGGCTGCTGCTCTGAAGTTAGCTCATGTGGTGAGGAGACATAATTTCTCAGGCCAGCAGGAAAGCCCGTGGTTCTTGAAAGAGATGCCCTCTTCCCCTTTTTAGCTACTTCCTCTCCCATCAGCAAGAATCGCATGGGCATGATGGATGTGTGTGTGTGGGTTCAAACCTCCTCCTAAGTTCTTTTTGAAGGTGAGCCTCTTGCTTGACCAACACTCGGGAACTCTGGGTAAGGGAGGACAACTAGGAAAACTACAGAAATCCAAACCACACAGCTGGAAGGATCTGGAAAGGAGCCGCTACCCTATCCCGGAGTCAGAGGCTAGCTCAGCCTATCAGTGAAGGAGCTCAAGCCTTTGTTTGCAAAAGGAAGTACTAAAATGAGACAAAGCAAATGAAGATACTAAAAAACAAACTGCTTAGAGATACCAGCTACTCCTAGGACCCCCACTGTGACGGTTCACCCCATCCTCACCCCTAGGCCTTGCAGCAGCACCCTAAGTTTAACCCTGCGTTCTCCCCCTCAAAAGCTTAGGTTTAAATGTGTAGGCAGGAAAGTAGCTGCCTGCAAGGATTGGGAAGGAGGCCCAGAGGTTTTGCTTTGATCATTTACTTTTGTATCTGCCAGATCAAAGAAGAGACTCAGAGAGGAAAGGAGATGGGCCAAGCAGAGATTGCTGTTGGCATCAGGTGTGGACACATGGGGATTCAGGGTTCTGCTCTCCCTGCTTTTTATATATTATAAAACAAAACAAACCCTTAATTGTAAGTCTATATTTTGCAAGAAGTAGGGTAAGAAAGCCCCACAAGTTTGTCTTTCAAGTCATAGAGGGACTTGACAAGTCAAGTCAATCCCAGGCTTGAGTTCCGACCCGAAAAGAGAAGCGCAGGAAATTTCCCTGGTTCGCTTGCCTTGGGAGCCCAGGGAGTTACTGAGGTATGCGGAGGAAGAATGTCAGCCTGTGTGAACTGGAGCTCTGAGACTCTCCTCAGATCTGCCGGTGAGACCCAGGCTCCCACCCTGCGTCACAAAACCACCATATGAAAGATGGCGTTCGTAGGACTGTGCCATCACTGCTAATAACTGCAGGGGATGCTTGATGACGTATACGCTCATTTCCTTTCTAGATGAAGCAATGATGGTCTGTCACAGTCTTGCTTGGAATCACACTTCAAAAGTCAGTTGGTGGCCAAGACAACGGAGAAGGAAGCTTCTAGAAAAAGAATCACAAAACCCTATTGCCTAAACACCAGAGTCCCCATTATCCACTGAGGCTGATGTATCTATCGCAGATCATCTGCTGGAGGCACTGGCTAAGGCACAGAGCAGGTCTGGGGCATGGATGCACAACGCTCAAGGCCATTGAGTTTCCCAAGATTGAAACAGAAGGAGAGGCCAGGAGGGTGCTGAACATCGGTGGCTGCAGTGACCTGAACAGACACATGGACACCAATGTCCGCCGGAGCGGCAGATTTCCGAAAGCAACTTAGCCGTCTGTCCACCAACAGATGGAAAACCAAAAGTGACATGCACATTGTTGTGGTCAGGTATTACATGTCCTCCACCAGTGCACATGGAGGGTGTTTTGTCCCCAGAAGGAAGCACTATTTTGGGAAGTGAGAAACTTCAGGAGCTGGAGAAAGCATGTCACTGTGGGGTGTGTGTGCCCTTGAAGAGTCCACCGGCACCTACTTTCTCCCCACCTCACCGCGGTTTCCTGGCTACTGTGATGCTCTTGGTGGCTTTGCTCCACCACGTCTCGCCTGCCGTGATGGACAGAGGCCTCTGAAAATGTGAGCTACTCCTTCCTTCCTTAAGTGGCTTCTCTTAGGGCGTTTGTCAGAAGAGAAAGAACAGCACAGAGATGCAAGGCAGTGCTAGCACACTTTAGAAAGAATTCTGACACTAGCTGAAACACGACGGAGCTGAACACGATGTGAAAAGGGAAACTGAGGAAGAAGACACGCAAAGTCACGGAACTGAAGTTCCAAAGGATTTACCGATAGGTCTGCGTAGAGACGTTAAACGCACAAAATAGAGCCTAGCTAAGGGCACGCTGCTTCCAGAACACCCCAAAAGGTAAGGGGTATGCTAGGTAGAGATAAGCAAAATTTATCAATGCTAGGACATAAATCTTTGACCATCAGGATCGACCAATTATTAGGCCCATCCACAAAAAACATAAATCTAGCAGGAAGTTCAAGACAGCAGCATAGGGGCACAGCCACGGGTAAGTCCTGGCCTGCCACAAAGGTGATAATTATTCCAAAAGAACAACACCGGTGTGTTTAAGGAATAATTCTGGCAATATCTTTGCTGTGTAAACCTCCCATCTAACCAAGAGTCTCCTGTCTCCGTTTAAGCTGTTTAAAGTGTAACCTGGGGTTGGGACCTAAGAGCTGTAAGGAGGGCAGCAGATGTGGATGCAGAAGCCTAAGTTGTATGTAAGTTAGCAAAATCCCCTATTCAAGGCCGCCTCCCGTCTGAGCCTTAGCCAGAGCTGCATATGCGCTATTAAAGAGCCTTTTCCTGATTTAATCTGTCATTGTGCAGAGTGATTCCTCACTGGAAAGGATATTATTTCTATAACAAAATAAGCCAAACGCAAAAGGACAAATATCGTCTGACTGTGTTTATCTAAGAGTTCCTGATATTAATTAATTAATTTTATTCACAGAGGCGGAATGAAGAAAGGTGGTTACCGGGAGATGGAAGGAAGGAAAATAGTTAATGTCTGATGAGTCTGGTTTCAACTTGGGAGTGAGACAGTGAGAGACAGGGAAAATTTAAAAGACACGGGAAGAGAAGAAGCGCTTTACTGTTAGACCTGCTGAGCAGCCAGAACTTCAGCCTAACTGATAAGGCCCGGAATTACATGCAGAGACAAGTTGTCCGAGAGACAGCTCAAGGATATTAAAAACAACTAACTATGCCTAGTCAAGGCGTCTCTCTCATCCCTACACCTAAACAATGTGTCTCATAAACCACCTTACAATGCCATGTATAAAAGGAAGTCATTAAAGAAAAATGGGTACGCCAGCTCCTGTATGTTTTTCTTTTACTTAATTTTAAAACTCTATTTCAGTTTTAAACTTGGACCTTTAAACTTTCTTATAAATTATATCCTTTAAGTATTAATGTAACTTAGTAAGCCGCAGAATTACACACACGTGCGCATACACACACACACACACACACACACACACACACACACACACACGCAAGTCTTCTCTCTCAGGAAGCTGACCCCCATGTTTGGGATGCGCTGACTTTTCTTATTCTAATCTCTAATGACTTAATGCACTCACTTTGCTCCACTGCTGATCCTAAAGATATTTCCAGATACTTATGTGACTTTACCTGAGATGAGGTCTCTAAGGGGAAAAAGAAGTAACACAAAGAACTGTCTTTTTTATTGGACACTGAATCCATTTATATGAAAGAAACAAATCTTCGGTAACAAAGTCATCAGAGTTTATCTGGGGCCAGGAACTGTGGGAAGGAAAACTGACTGCTCGTGGGATGGGGGCACTAGACAGTCTGTTTTCACTGGGATGGTAGGCACTTCAGCTTGAGATTGAGATATATATATATATATATATGCACACACACATACACACACACACACACATACACACACACACACACACATACATATATCAAGTCTACCTGACTCCTCATCTATAAAATAAGGACTATGGTATCTACCTCACCAGGCTGCTGAAGGGACTACTGGAGAATATATATTTGATATATATTTATATATGTCAAAGCTCCCCTACTGTGCTCTTAACAAACACACATTTTCCTCAGTACAGTTGACTTTGAAAGTTAAGAGAAGGGTGTAGCTGAGAGGAAGAGGGAGTGCTTAGCATCTGAGAGGCTCCAACACCAGAGTCAACAACAAAACAACAACAACAACAACTAAAGTACACCTGGTACACACTTAGCCAAGCCCATTATCAGTCTTTGACCTCACAGTAGCCACAGCAGGGGAGCTGAGGGGTGTGTGGAGGGATGAGCTAGCGCATACACACACACACACACACACACACACACACACACACACACACACACA